ACTACATAAATAATTTCATGCCTCTTGCTTCAATTTTCGTTATTTTTTAGATTTTGCGGGTTTCTATTCTTTGGGCAGCAGTTCTTGAAGTGACCTGGCTGACTACTTAAGAAGAATTTTGATGGTCCTTATTTAGTTTATTGGTTGGAGGGCTTAGTTCCTCTATTTTTGAACCTATTGTTCATCTTATTATACTTCCCTTAAAATTTATGATTATTTGGCTTGGGTTGGCTGCAATTGGGAGGTCCTTAAGTAAGCATGAGTTTACTCTTTTTATCTTTGTTCATATACTCTTGGTCTTAAGCTAGTTACATAAGAAGGTCCCCGAATGTCAGAGATTTTGCTTTCAACCTAACTGCAATTGTTACCATCCTCCATGAAAGTGAAAGACTATTTAAGATAGTGGAAACTTGCATATGCTCGGGGACTTCATTCCCAACAATGGCTAAGTCCTTAGCCATAATGAGTATCTTGTTAACATGTTCCACTACATTATTACCCTTCTTCATTTTAAATGAGTTATATTACTCTAATAGCAATTGAATGTGTGTTTTAGAGGTTGAGTCATTTAAGTTTTATTGCCTCTAGCATTTTGTTAGATGTTTCATGATGCTCGAAAACCTTAATAAAGTTATCTTGCATAAAAATTAACGTAGAAATTTTTGCTATAAGGTCATCTTCTAAAACTTTTCCAGCCTTTTTTTTTCTTTTTCAGTTGGTTTGTCACCAACTACAAGTGGATCATTATTTAGTACATATATGATTCTATCTTGGATGAGGAGATAGTCCATCTTCCTATTCCACATTCCAAATTGTTTCCGTTCAATTTTTCAATTTTAGAAAGCTCAACCATAACTATTCTACTGGCCATTTGTTAAGTTTTATGTAAGCAAACGACTACTTTCTAACTTCTAAAGAAGCTAAACAAGGCACCAAAAATTTAATACGTGGTCAATGCTTGTATAGAGAAAGCTGCAATTATAAACAATATTAGTTATTAATTGATGCATTAAAAAAAATGAAATAAGCAATTTCTCAATCTATAAGTACCACAATTATCAAAGATAAAATTTTCCTTTATATTATTTATTTGGGGTGCAAGAGCAATATCAAGGGTGTGTGAGCACATATAATAAAAGAGCAAAATCATCAAGCATGTGATTCACTTTAGAAGACAAATCAATTTCTATATCACACCAAAAGACAGTAAGTGCATCAATTGCATAAAATAAAATAAAATAGAGCAAAATAAGTCTTCTTATTATTGCTGTCTCCCCATTTTTCTTTCTACTTCATTAACTTCATCCGCCTGGGTATCAATGTTTCCAAAACCAAGCAACTCAACTCCAAGAAATGAGAGACCATATATACGAAATAAAATTGATGTTGATGTTATCTTTAAAAAAATAGAAGCAAATTTGATTGTTGATTCTAACAAAATGCTAAACAAACAATCTCCTTTATTTATCGTAAATCACATAGAGCACAAAAAAAGTAGATAAATATGTTTACTGATCACAAACAATCTCCTTTTATCTATTGTAAATCACATAGAGCACAGAAAGTCGATAAGCTTATTTACTGATCACAAACAATCTCCTTTATCTATTTGTAAAGCACAAAAAATCGATAAACTTATTTACTGATCACAAGTAAAACAAAGAATCAATGTACTCCCTTCTATTATCGGGGACGTTCAGTTATAAAGTGCTTCCTTATGTTTGACGATGTTAAAAGGAATTAGAGAGAGAGAGGACTTAAAAAAAAATGAGAGAGAGAGAGAGGAGCAGCCTTTGAGTATTTAAAAAATTAGAAGAGAGAAAAATGCAGGCCAGGCCATGCGTATCAGAATTAGAGAGAGAAAGAGAGGAGCATCCCTTCCCTGTTTTGTTCGTCTTTTAGCAATATCTCTTTTCCTTTATTTAACCTCTCTCTCTCCTACTATTTTCTCATTCTAAACTTCTTTTGGGTAAAAAAAAAACTTCTTTTGAAACTTTTACCCAAAGAAACTTATTATTTCACTTAGAGAAAAAACTTCTCTTCTTTTGGTTCACGAGGACATAGAGAAAAAAAAATGTTATAATATTACTATTAATATAATGTTATAATATTTAAAATAAAAATTGTCTGCGAAGAGATCATTTATCTTTTGTACATAGAGATCACAATCATTTTTATGCTTTAAATTTCGAAATGGGCAGTTGTAGGAGTGTCATTGAATAGACATAAAGTTCTCAAATTTTTTTCGGATTTTGTGATTCACCCCAAGCCATCCAATTTGAAATCTAATGCGTAGAAATAATTCTGACCTCTAGGTATAAAAGAAAAATAGTCTTTTTGTAGACAATCTCTTAAAAATTGTATAGTAAAACATAAATATTTTAATAATAATATAATATAATAAGAATATACTAAGATAACAACATAATATTATAAAGGGTTGTCACTTGATGTAATGGTAAAAGGCTCAGGCAGCCAGCGCAAGAGCCCGGGTTCGAGTCTTGAGAGCAGCCGCTTTGTGCATAAAAAGCCAAAAGTTAAAGCCATTTCCAACCCACCCCTCTTGGGACCCAGCGTAAGTAGGATCAACACCGGGTTACGACCTTTTAATAACATAATATTATAACAACATATTTAAATAATCACTATTTTAATAATAAATATTTTCAATAGTAATATTAATATTTACTAATTTTAATATTAATAACAATAGAAGTAGCAGTATTAATAATATTAATAGTTACAATAATAACATTAGGGTACATACTTTTAACTTTTGATTTCCAAAAAAATATCAATTCCATCTATTTGAGTGAAATCGATATTTCATGAAATTTAACTTAAAATGAGGATACAAGACTTCTCATGAAAATGCCAATTCTACCTCCATAAACAACTAAACACGTCCGTAAAGTATCCTTTCCAAAATCTCCTTTCTCAAAGTAAAGTTTCCTTTCTCGAAGATTACTATTGCCCTAAAAAAAGATAACACGTACCAACTCTGTCTTATGCACTGACGGCCGCCACCACAGGACCAGTCCCAGGCCGAGGACGGTCCGAATATGGAAATTTTTGGTTAAGTGTGAACCTGAGATCTAGGGCTGGCAATGGGTTAGGTGGCTCCGTGTAAAACTAGGGCATAGGTCATGCCAGGCATGGGCCATGGCTATGATAGGGCGGCCCCGCTTGGCCCTATCCGGCTAAGGGCTAGGGCGACCCTTAATCCAACTAGCAAAAAAATATAATAATAATAGTAATAATAAGAAAAGTCTTCTCAGCATCTATAACGGAAAATGAACAGTGATATCATTTATGCTCATCACTGTCCAAAATTCATCGTATGGTGACGATTGTCTGGTAGTGTTTCAATTTTCATTTTTTTTTCTATAAATTGGAATGATTTGAAATTTAGAACATTTGTATATTTTAGTGAGGCGCACCTAATAAAAATATGAAAAAATATTTCGTAAAATATAAATTGATCAAAATACCTCTGTAAATTTTAAAGGGTATTTTAGTCAATTTATATTTCATGAATTATTTTTTTATATCTTTATTAGATTCTCCTATTTTTTATGAATGCACGCTCCAAATTTAAGATCATTTCGATTTGTAGAAAAAAAATAAAAATTGAATACTGGACAACTATGTTCGTCTGATGAACTTTGTACAGTGATAAACATAGACGAAATCATTTTTCATTTTCTCCAATAGACGATGTGTAGTGTTTTCTATTATTATTATTATTATAATAATAATAATAATAATAATAATAATAATAAATAGAGTCATACTAGGGCTCGAGTGCCACTCAAATCTAAGAGTTGAACAACCAAGTCCGCCTAGCTCGAAAAAGCCGGGCACAGAAAGGCCCAAAAATAATTTGGCCCTCTGAGGCCCATTCCATGGCGGATGCCGACTCTTTCCATTATTTTATGGAAAAGAGATGGCGTAGGCAGAAAATGGTAACATACTCTTGTCCTACGTTATATATTCCTCTCATTGGATCCAACTCCAACCATGCGATTTGCGTCGTGGCCGTTTTTTCAGCAAAAAACACATTTTTTCTTTTTTTTTCTTATTATTTGCATCTGTCCTCTCATCTGTGGCAACATCGATCGTACCAAAAGTAAGTGGTTTCTCCATTTCAGGTCGTTGGGGGTGTGCTATTAATGATATCCAACGGCCGAAAAGGAATTTGTTTAAAATCGAATTTTAATGGTTTTGATTGAACCGACCTTAGAAATGAACTTCATTTCTTTCTTCTAATTTTTTATTTAAAAATTATATATTAATATAAAATATGGGATTTAAATTTATTTTTATAATTAGACTAAATAAAAATATTTCAAGATAAAAATAAATTTAGGAGAATTTTGATAAGTTTTTTACTTAAAGGAAAAAGTTTATATACGATTGCAATTTTAAAATGTAGAATTAAGGATGTACCTAAAAAATCCACGGGAAAAGGATGTTTTAGTGTTGAAAAACCTCTAATTGTTCATCTTAACATTAAGATGTGTGAATATGAAAAAGAAAAAAAAAAATTTTTTGAGTCTTAAAAATAGCGCATCTTGCAACACATTATCTGAACCGTCTATTTTCAAGATTTTCATATGTTTTAATTATTTTTAATACTTAAAATTGTATAATTAAATATAAAAATAAATTTTCAAATAATCTCATGGTTTTTTTACACCAAAATCACATGTAATGATAAATTTGAAGGTGAGCCGATTGTTTAATATTGAAAGAAACTACACCCTTAATTAAAATATTTGTTTAATTATTTTATTTAATAATCTTTATAAAAATAAAGATACATTGAGATAAATATTTTATTTTAATAAAAACAAAAAAATAAAATATGAGGTTAATTTTAGACCGTCAGATTCAGCCACGTCATAAGCATATGAGGTGGACGGGATACTTTTCCTTTTAATAATTACGATACCCAATAGGGTGTCCTCAAGACTCGAACTCGTTTTAAAAGGCAACTAAGCTCAAAATCAAATACAAGCCGCCAATATATAGCCTGCACAACGCCATCCCTGCCTGCACACCACTAATCTGCACATCTCACGCACTTCTAAACGACGCTTTCACTCTCTCTCGGCGAAAATGAGCAAGTTTTCCGGCGAGCTACAGCGGCCATTAGTGCCTGAAACCGAAAAGCATGGGTTTGCCAACCAATCGCTAGAGAGCATTTTGAGTGACAGTGAGTTGGGATGGGGGAGGAAGGCGGTGGCTGCGACGGGGGTGGAGATGAAGTTGCTATGGAGGATCGCGGCGCCTGCGGTGGCGGTTTATATGCTGAACTACGTGATGTCGATGGCCACTCAAATCTTCGCCGGCCATTTGGGGAACCTGCAGCTCGCTGCCTCCTCGCTCGGGAACACGGGCATCCAGATCTTCGCATATGGACTTATGGTAAGTGACTGAGAATAACGCCTGCCTTTATGCTGAGAGAGAGAGAGAGAGAGAGAGAGAGAGAGAGAGAGAGAGAGAGAGAGAGAGAGAGAGAGAGAGAGAGAGTAGTAGTAGTAGTAGTAGTAGTAGTAGTAGTAGAGAAGTAGTAAGTAGTAGTAGTAGTAGTAGTAGTAGTAGTAGTAGTAGTAGTAGTAGT